TTAGAATAATTCGCTTCTGAATTTTGGGTGGGGTTTTCCCATTTCTTCCAAATGAAGTAAATTGATTTCTGCTACATTTAACCTTCCCATTCTGGCTGCAGTGAGATTCCCAAGAAAATATGGGCTAAAACACCAATATTTTAGGGTTTTTAAAGATTAACTGTAGACAAAAGCTTACAATAATATTTAGAAAATCATAAAGAAAATCTTGACGTAGTTATCATAGAATCATCCTTCATATAACCCAGTGGGAAGACTGTGCTTGTAAAGTAGGAGGAATTCCTGAGCGTCCCTCTGTCTCTCAGACTTGGGAATGGTCTTATTTCAAAACTCACCAGGTTTGAATCCTGAAAGAACTTCCAAACTTGGTTTTCTGTGCTAAGCTTTGCAGCACTCCTTAATTTGACTGCAGCTCATCAAGTTATTAGAACATGATGCTTCTGGTGACAAATGGTGCAAGTTTGCCCCACTTCTCCCAGAGCAGAGATGTTCCTGGCACAAGAGCATAATTTCCAGGTGCTACATATATACAGAAAGTCTTGACCTAGTTATCATAGAATCATCCTTCATATAACCCAGCGGGAGGACTGTGCTTGTAAAGTATGAGGAATTCTTGAGTGTCCCTCTGTCTCTCAGACTTGGGAATGGTCTTATTTCAAAACTCACCAGGTTTGAATCCTGAAAGAACTTCCAAACTTGGTTTTCTGTGCTAAGCTTTGCAGCACTCCTTAATTTGACTGCAGCTCATCAAGTTATTAGAACATGATGCTTCTGGTGACAAATGGTGCAAGTTTGCCCCACTTCTCCCAGAGCAGAGATGTTCCTGGCACAAGAGCATAATTTCCAGGTGCTACATAGAATTCTTCCATAGTTCCCTTTTTATTCATTAAAGCTGCTTTACAGTATCAGTCTGGCATTATCCAGGCCTGGAGTTTTCAAAGGTGAGATGGGCACCAAGATGCAAATACAAGGCTATGAAATAGTAACTTTTATGGGCACTCTCAAAGTTTCCAGCCTAAAATGTCAACAGGAATGACAATTTTAATTACTGCTTTTTACCCTACTCCATGAGAGGAAGCTTCCAAAAAATCTGTCATTTTAAGCTAAGTCACACTAAATATTTTATTTTGTTAAGACTATTTAATGCCATTAAAAAGTCACAGTCTCATGAAACAAAATACTAACTGCCATAATCGCTGCTTCAATCTCTAACTCAATCTGCTGGTTCCAATGTTCAAAGGCTGGCTCAGGATTTTGGAAGGGGTAAATTAATTCTGGCAGACTTATAGCTATGTCAGATATCATCTGTCTTCTCTTTCTATCAGATCCAGCTGGGCGGTCCCCCTGTAACTAGGATAAAGCCGACTCGGAACATCATTTTGAGTGCTTGGACTAAATAAATCAGAAATTTGATTATGGGCACATAATCTATTAAAAATAAATGAAAGATTGGGCTTGTTTTTCCTAGTCTATCTACTCAGGGCAGGACTAAGCCACTGAAATCTTTGCTGAAGGTGACTCCGAGTCTCTTTTTCCCCTAAAATGCCCTGTTGATGTAAGATTGGCTATTCCAGGTCAAACCAGGGCCATCTTGCCCTCTCTGCGGCAACAGATGTCTACAGAATAAAGAAACATTAATGATGCTTCCCCAGAATGCTCTTTCATTCTCTAGGGGCTTCCTCAGTCAGAGGTGCTACCTCTGCATTTAATAGGACTTGAAGCCCAGTACTTGTTGAACTCAGAAATTTTATCATCCATAACAAGAACATCCCCTGCTTAATTGTAAATGTAAAGAACTGATTATTATTTTCCCTTGGAATTTGCCACCTGTTGGTCATACTGCCAGAGCTGGTCGAGTTTCCCACCATGCTTCATTCAGTAAGAGAGATTACAAGAAGATAAAAAAGGCTGCTTATTATAGAATCATAGAATCATAGAATTTCCCAGGCCGGAAGGGACCTCCAAAGGTCATCTAGTCCGACCTCCCCGCAGTCAGCAGGGACACCCCCAACTAGACCAGGTTGCCCAGGGCCTCGTCGAGCCTCTCCTTGAATATCTCCAGGGAAGGGGCCTCAACCACCTCCCTGGGCAACCTGTTCCAGTGCTCCACCACCTTCACAGTGGTATCAAGGTTGAATGATTTTTCTTCATTGCATACATGCACATGTTCTGCACCCAGTGTCATTAGTACAGCATCATTGCCTGGTTCTTTAATTCACAGAGGCCTAACTCTAACTCAAATGCTCTGAAGAGCCTTTTCAAGGTTTCATGGCCAACTTGTCCTCAGCTGCCGGGTTCCCAGCCCTCCGCGTGGGAGCTTACCTCAGCAGCCAGAACCGGCATCACACGGCAACGCAGCAACATTCCATTTTCCTATTTTCTGAACAGCACAAACTCTGTTTCTGCAGACTTGCTCATTAAGTCAGCAGAAGATGAGTCATCTGGAAAAAAACTATAATCATTTGTCCCCTAGGAGTCATATAGTAAGTTAATTATTGTACAACACATTCTAATGCAGAATACACAAGCAGTTTCAACTTGTTGAGGTTGCAGAGGTCAAGAGAGCTTTTCAGAATTTCCATCAGTTACGGTCTGGGAATGCTGGGTTTCCCTGGATTTGGTATCTATTGCATAATCAGAAACACATTTGGTTCCCTTTGTTGTATGAGACAAAGCTAAAGAAATGTGTCTGTTATTACTTTGCAAAAATAAAGAGTAGATACCTAATCGGCTTAGGTAATGTATTACATGTTTATAAACACAACTGCTCTGGGGCAGTTCCTCAGCTGATGAAAACTATTACAGCTTCTATCAGTTGAAATAATGCTCTTCTGAATATGCAAATACCCCACCAGTATTGCACGGGAAGTCAAAATATAGGAAGATAATGTGCCATGTGGATTTTGGGTAGAATTGTGGTAAACCTGCTTCCCTGGAGTTCACCTGTCAGCGTGCTGGACTTGAATCTGGTCACTGTGGTGTTTTGGTTATTCATATCCAGTCACCCCGGCTTTCTTGGGCTATTGTGTGGTTGTTATCTCAGCAGGAGATAATCTTATCAGTGCACAGAGAGGAAAACCTGAAAACAATGTAAACGCCCTCAGCATCTGAATTTTTTCTGTTGAGAATCAGAAACAAATACATCTATAACTGCACAAACCATTAAGGAGAAAGACTTTTTCCAGTAGATATGGTATGCTGTTGTAAAACCCCCAGTTGTTATTTACAGATCCTGATTATAGAAAGGAAAGACTGATATTAAAGGCACCAATTTAAAATTACTAATTTGGTGAGCTCATAATTTTAGAAATGGCTCTGGCAAGAGACCTGGTTTCCTACTCATTCCTTTGGCAGACCTACATGATGACTTCTCTCTTTGAATTATTACATTAGTAAAATTAATTACTTAAATTTTTTTTTTTTCTGTTATCAAATGAACTTGAATCTTCACAGTCACTCTGGATCTTCCAGTATTTGACAAGCAAAATATAGAATCTATTCAATTTTCTTCTTATGAAAACTTCTATAAATAGGTCAAACACTTGGAAGTGTATTCATTGATCTGTCATGCAGCCAGGTGCCAATCAGGTATCTGAAAAACAAATAAGGAATCCAAATTGGGCACCAGGGGACAGAAAGCATATGGTGACAGTGCAACCATCTCAGCTGAATGCCTTACTGCAGTAATGGGGAAATAATACCCATTCCATGTAATGCTGCATCTCTGTGGTCATTAAGAAACCTGTGAAGTTTGTCAATTTTTGATCAAAATACAAAATACAACCGTAATTGGCACCGTATCCTGTTGAACCTCGCTAAGCATGTGTAGGCAGTGGGAGACAATCAGTAACCTTCCAGAACCTGCCTTAAAGTGGAGAAACTTCTTGGAAGCTCCCTCCCAATTTCAGAAGCGCTCCTCTGTTTCTGACACTGACAGGAACATTGAACTTTTTCTTTGAGAAACATAACTTTTTCTTGAGAAAGAAAGGACACTAACCACATTATTATTACATTTTTTTCAAAGACTAATCTTATTGTGGCTATGGCAATTGAACATACGAGTAAATGCGAGCTTCTCCATGGTGTGCTAAGATGAAGTAGGTAGGTCCACCATCCATGACAGATTATTTAATGCATCATAATAACGGTAGCAAAAACTTTCAATGATGATAACGAATCAATATCAAGTAATAATGTTTTTTTTAACTCCCACTGTATCAAACAGTCTTGGCATGGATGAATGTACTGCCAAATAGATTTTTCCTTCATTCAGGCAATGATTTAGGGGCAAAGACTGGAAGAGCAATGTACATCCTTCAGACTTTCCCCTACAGAAATATTATAACACAAATGTGCTTCAAAATTCCTCTTTAGCATTTCAGAGGCTTACAAAAATTCTTATCTTCCCGGTGCAAAAACAAAGCTCAATATTATTCTTAATTATAGACTTTGCTAAGCAAAGGGAAGGATTGTTTGGAAGCAATTTATTTACTAAAAGGAGGTTTTTTGCTTCATAGCCAATGATGTACTAAGGATGCCATTCTGCCACCCAAGGCAGGCAGAGAGAGCCCTGGACTTTATTTCAGAACATTTAAGTGACAGACATTACTACAAAGGAGGAGGGAAAAAGATCCAAAAGCTACTGAGGCAGACTCCGGGTGCTGTCTGACTAATAATGACAGCTGGAGAAGCCAGTGGCTCAAACTCTCCTGGCTTTCCAAACATCAATATTATCCAGCGGTGTGTGGAAATATTACTGGAAGTAGAAACGTGGCATCATGATCTTCCCTCTGACCCTGGTCCTTTCTGTAGAATTACACAAAGCACCTCATTTCTTTGTGCCTCATTTTCATTATCTGCCAAGGTAATGATTAGTTATGCGTGACATCTATACTTAGTTTCTGTGACTCTCTGCTAAACATAGCAAATTATTATTAATTAACTAAACATGTCAATCAAAACACCAACTTACTGAAGACTCTGTACTACCTCTCTTCCAGGAATCACTCCAAATTTGGCAACCTGGTAATCACAGTGACTTCAGCTGTCCCATCTGTCTCCAGACACCTACTTGCCCAGTACAAACCAACTGTGGACATTTATTCTGTGGTAAGTTTTCTGGACTGATGCTGCAGTGCTTATACAAGGTACTTCTTACAGACATCTCCAGCCCTGTGTTAGAGCCTGTACCAAGCCCTTATCCCTGGAATTAATGTAAGTTCTCTCACTAGAAGCAGAAGTCCCACCTTTGTATCCCCCCTCCTCAAAAGCCTTAAGACAAGAGGCCACAGATCATATTGCAGGATACTCTTAAATTACAACACAAACTTGTGAAATGGGTAAATCGTGCAGGAAAAACACTTTGTACCCAACTACATACACACAAAAAAAACCCCTTACAAAAATCAACAGTCTAATAATCATAGTTTGTGACTGTAAAAGTCTTATCTTCAAGCACAAACTCACTTCTGCAAAAGCAGCTTGTCTTTTTATATCAGTACTCAACTGCATAAAACTCCAGCCATCCCATAAAATTGGTTTGGATTGTATTTATATTGGTGAAAATCAGGAGTAAAACACCATGGTTTCAGGTCTGATTCTGTTCCACAGACTTGCTTCCCATGTGAAACAGTGGCCTAAAAGAAAGCAGCAGTGATCTAGAGCAAGATGACATAATTACCTGTAAAAGGTCCTGTAAAAGCTTTCTAAAAAAAAAGGTTAGTTTAAGTTACATATTAAACAATTGAGAAAAAAAGTGAGTTTCTAGTCTTCTTTTAATCTGTTTATCTTTTTCTAAGTGAATCTGTGTGATCATGTAGGGAAAAAGCGTTCAAATATCTCATTGCGATGGATGTTCAGTAACTGTTTATTCCAGCCCAGGATCTGTCTTAACAGGAAAGGGCCAGACCCAGATTTTAGAAGGTCCTTCTGCTGAGGCTGCCTGTGGTGTGGTCTCCTGTCCTCACCCACTGCACTTGCAGTCACCAGATAATCTAAGTAAACACATAATTCTGTAGTGAAATGTGTCTGCTAAATGCCTTCTTTGAGGCTGCTCTCTTTACAGAGACCTTAAAGCAAGTGCCAGTTATATTTACAAGCCACTTACACTTTTTTCACCATGTAAAAGTGTTATAAAAAGACCCAAACACAAATGAGAGCAAGGGACTATGCTGTTAATGCTGGTGCAATAAAAGCGCATTTTTATCTTTAGGAAGTGTCATTTTTCTCTAAATTGAAATGATACTCACACAGCACAACTCCTCATCGCCATCACCACTATCTCCATCTTCTGAAACCACAACACATCAGTGGATCACCAACAGCGAGGGACACTTTGTAGGGCTCACCTACCTTATAACTAACTTTGGGTTGTTTCATGTTTTTATAACATTGTTTTATAACATACAGGAAAAAGATGCTTTGAATACAACACACTCCAGGACAAACAGTAAGCATATGGCCTCAAAACCTGTTTCAAATAATGTCAGAGAAGTTAGAGTTTCAAGTACAAAGACAGACATAACAATGGAGATCATCTGCTTTCCTCTTTCTCTGGCCTGGTTAATTTTCCCTTTTCCATCTGTGAATATGACATAATGATATGGACTTTATTTTTTCTTTATTTTGAGACCTGCAGAGGAGAAGTATTCTATACAAACTTGGTATATATTGTTATTGTTAGCTGTACACATTTAGCTAGGCTTTACTTTCCTGAAGTACATCATCATTTACACTCTGAAGCCTTGATTCCAGTGCAATGCATTCTATATGTTATGACTATGTTTATATAGTAGAAGCGGCCTCTGTAACATGTCTGTTTTTCATGTCTTAAACCAATAAAACTTTACATTGGGCTTATCAAAACCATTCTGCATAGATCTAAGTCTGTTGTGACTGAAATGGGTAATAAAACTTCTCTTGATGCCCTGTGGAACGGAGCTAAAACAACACTGAGCTCTCTTAATAAATTCCGCTCTGGTAAAAGTTTTATTTAAAAAATGTGGTCAACCCAGAGCTTTTAAAGAAGATTAATGTGGACTTATAAAAAATGTCTGATTTTATTATTAGTAGTAATTCATACAGTTTGTCCTGAAGTTTTCCTTTTCAGCTTCAGTTTGAACCATATGTTCAGGAAGTTCAACTGAAAAGCGATCCTTGAGCAATATTATTTTTTTCTAATTAACAATAACCACAGAGGTATTTTAGAGAAACCTACGGACTTCCTCAGAAGGTTGCGTAGCAGAGCCAGATTAAACTGGGATTTTGTCTTGTTTCATGAAAAATGCACCGAAGCACAAATAGGTCAACTTCAGAGGAGGCCTTCCTTTCCTGTTCTACTAAACAAAGGATTCTGCATGCAGCAAATTTTAATTTCCACAGAGTTCTTTTTTGAAAGCCTTAGAACTATGGGATCTACCAGTGCCCCATTGCCACTACCGGGACTGAGCAACAGAGCCGTGTTGGATCATGACACAGGATCTGGATCCAGAAGGTCAAAGTGGTTCCTGAAGTCAGGCACGGTGCTTCTCCAGTGCAGAAGTTGAAGGGAAAGCTGGAGTTTATACCTACTGCTTGGGATTTCGATATAAACACACCCATGTGCCCAGCCAACCCGTCTGGATGTGCAAACAAAATAGAAGAGTTATAAAGAAAAACCCTGCACTTAAATGAAAACAAAAGGAAAAAAACCAAGTCAGAGCGAGGTTCATAAAAATTATCTTTGGGCCAAATTTGACATCCCCGGTACACAGGATGTGACTGAGAGCATAGGGAGTGTTTTCATACCTGATTTCAAGCACGCCACACTGAGGACTCCTGAAGACTTCTTGTTATAATAGTGCTTAGGAGAAACTACTTGCTGGTTATTTTTAGGAATAAAGAGCATTGTTCAGTTCAATAAAACAATTCCATCAAAACGACAGCGCGGCCTTCTGCTTCTGTGTTCACCGGGGTCCTTGTCAAATCTGATCAGTTTAAATGTTGAGAGATGTTTTTTCCCTGACCTGTCACACTGCACGCTGCGCCCGGGAGCTGGAACTCAAGCTGTGCTGCTTCTGATTAGATGCTGTTTATGCTTTGCTGTTTTTGGTGTTAGAGCCAGCACTGACATTCATGTTTGTCAACCACCACTGGCAGTTACACGTGCAGTCCAGTCTCCTGTCCTCAGACTGGGTCCTCTTTCACACCCGAGACCTTAGGATAAGAAGAGATGATGTTGATTTGGAAATTACCAGTTGTCTGGATAAGAAGAACCAAAAAAGAAGGCAGCAATTGTGCACAGCAGCCAGCATTGGCTCTGAAGGGCACCTGTATTCCTGAGTGCTTCGGCCACTCAGGGGAGCTTCAGGAATGACTGTCCACAGGAAAAGAAACCAAATCAAAGTCTTCTCTAGGAGGTCCATGTATCTCTGTGCACACCAGTGTAGAAGAGCTGAGGATCCATTTTTACACAGTCACTTTGCAGAGTAAAACCACATTAAAATGAAAACCAAGAATTACATTCATTTTTACAGTCAACTGTAGAAAGAGAGTTTATTAATTCTGATAACTTCCTTGTAAACATTAAACATCCTCAAATATATTTCATTTATCTTAATTTCTTTTTCTTTTTTTTTGGTAGGTTCCTGTCTGATCACATACTGGAAACATAGTCCCTGGTTAGCAGCGATAACCTGCCCTCTCTGCAGACAAAAGGTAAGATGCATCGTACGCATCTGCATTATGATACATACAAAATGACAAGCTTGAGCACTTGGGATCAGCTTCACTTATCCTCTAATTTTCCGTAGCATTTCAAAACCCACTTAGACTTGAATGACCCTGCAGCCATTCGCATTCATCATTTGACACGTGTCATAGCAGGCAACACCAAGAAATCTTAAACAGGCCTCCAGCATTTTACTTTTGTATAGTTTATTGAATTTCTGGGATAATATTCCATAAAAAGCAATATGGAAGTTCCTAATCTCATCTGACCCCAATCAGAGGCTGCCTCTTGTACTGAAAGGTTGGATGCAGGTTATTAAAGGAAAATGTCCTTGGTATTGTGGAACTGCCAGAAGTGGACAAAGGTCCCGTTGCAAGAGAGACACTGTGGAGACACACGTACATACTACAAAATGTCTCCTTTATACTGGGGATTAAAATACACCGTGCTAATGCCGATCTTTTCTTTGAAGGTGGTCCTTCTGGATAACATCTCTTATGAAAAGCAACAAGATCGGCCGAGTAAACAAATTGTACATGACATTAGAGATTACAACAAGCGTTTCTCAGGGCAACCTCGACCCGTAAGTATTTATAAATCTACATTTACCTACTCAGTAGTGCATAACACAGAGAGAACCGAGACACCCAGCAATGAAAACTGGTTTGTATCATTATGGGAATTACCTTTTCATGCACTTACTGGCAATACCATAGTGGAAGGGTTACCATCTGCTGCTGGGTCCAGCACCTTCTAGTAAAGGTGTTTCTCACTCAGAGGAGTCCTGCAGTCATCCTGGCAGGGAGGAGCAATGTCATCCCATCCAGCGTGGGATGAAATACAGGAAGGAAAGCAGAACTAGAGATGGTCAGGCTGCAACTTTCAAATATGAACTCAGATTTGAACTCCAGGATTTTAAATTGTCTCTGAAATTTTAAATCAGATTCCAGCTTTGAAAGCAGCTGGTTTTTTTCCCCCAGGTATTGCCAAATTCAAACAGTTCACACTGGCTCTGAACCTTCTTAAAGCTGGAATCCCAGTTGTTACAGAGACAAGACAGGCAGTGGAAATGATGTGAAAGATGAGGGCTGAAGGAACGAGTGATGCCCATTCTTGACAGGGTGTAGAATATCACCAAAGCAAATCTTCCTCCCCTGTCACATGCTGGTAGGGGGTCTGGAGGGACTGCAGAGTCTGTTTCAATTTACGAACTAAACTAAGCACTGTGGAGGAGAATATATTAGTTTTCAACCCAACAAATTAGCATTAATGAACAGGAATAATCACTCAGTCCTATGGTTCCTGTCCACACTGAGGTGAGACTTGAGGTCTCATCTTCGAGCATTCACAGCCTGCACTTGATGCCTGATTTTGAAGACAGGGATATACTCAATGCAGTGGTTATGGCTCAGTTTCCAAAAGGATTCAATGTCAAGCATAGTATTTTCTTTTCAAAGTGCCGGGGGAGCAGGGTTTCCTTTTAGACGTGTGCCTCGAGGTACCGCAAAACAATGGAACAGTGTAGGTGGATCTGAGCAGCACAGAAAGTTCCTGCATTCAAGAGATTTTAATCTAAAAGTGCTTGAGACACGCTGAACTGAAAGAACTGCGTGCACCAGAATGCAAAATAAGGTAACTCATCTGAATATTCAGTTTGCAGATTACCTTTATGACATGCCGTTATTCCTGACTCTTGCCTTGCGAGGCATCTTCACCTGGGGTGGTCTCGTCTGGATTTTTTTCCTAAGAGTGGCTGTTTGCTCCTTTGGAACAATCATATGCTTGTCTTCTCCCTTTGACACAAAGCCTGGGCCTCTCTGCAGGATGCTTGGAACAGCTGACGACATGATGGTCGTTTCCCTTCTTTTAATTTGCATGATAAACATTTGCCAGCAAATTGCATCAAATGGGGTAAACATGGCAAGGTCTGCAGCTCAGAGCGTGCTCTCAGAGTCCTGAATGCCTCAAACCTGGATTCCTTGGTCGAACTTCATCAAGTGATGATGGGCTTCTCTCTGGTTCGGGGCAGCGTATGATGGATTTGTCGTTCTGCTGCTGACAAAGGCTGAGGCAGGACCCAGCAATAGCAGGTGACTGGGTGCACAAGCACTTGGGCAGCCAGTTTTACACACCACTGTGTATTTGCTGGACTCTTTCACACCCCACTTTTTTGTAACTTACCTTCATACAAAGTGCCTGAATTGAAAATGCCTAAAGCCATGAACAGAGCCTAAAATTACAGTGCCAAACAACGTGCGGTTGAAGAATTTTAGAACTCTTGAGCTTTAGCGTTTCACATCTTGCCTCAATTTCAATAAAATTTTAATTCGAGAACTTAGCAAACTGTACAGTTTGCTAAGTCTTGTGTAACACAAGGAATGTTAGAGAGTATCACTACAAAATCTGGTATCAGAGCTTTGTGTTATCAGAGCTAATGTCACATCCACCAGAACACAGATTTCCACAGCTCTGCAATGAGCATAGTCCTGATTTTGAAATGGATGAGACTGGTAGTAACACTGGCTTGGAAAAAAATGCAGCTATAAAGTAGAAGTTGAAGAAGAACTATAGAAGAGCTATAAAGTAGAAGTTCTCCCCTTTCTTCACAAGGGGAGAAAAGCATTGAAAGCCTGTGCAAGGTCCACAGGTTCCCTGAATTCAGCGCATCTAAGCTTCAAAAAAAGTCAGCACCACCATTTGGTTTCTTTCCAGACTTCATACACTCCTTGTGATTTCCTTGTGAATCTTGGTACCAGTTCAGCCAGAGAGATCGAGGCCAATTTTATGATGATGATATAAATAGCAGAAGTTTATGGAAAGTTTGCTGAAGTTGGGGGAGAGGGCGTGTCCACATCTGCGTTGAGCTGCAAAGAGTTAAAAATGCTGGTGCAGAACAAGACAACCCTACACGTCTGTCCCTGTATAATCTGTACATTTGCTATGTATTGCAGTCAGCGGGACTTCACTTTTACATATGAATTGTATATATTAAAATAGATATATTAACATTTATGAATATTTATTGTTCACAATACACTGGTCTCCAACTGCTTTTTCCTTCTACATATTTTCAGTTGACATATTTTATTGTGCCCTTGAATTGTAAGCTATGATATACCATCATGTTGCCGTTGTTTTCTTGCTTGTTATAATCTTTTTGTTATGATGTTTCTTCATTTTATTCCCATCAACTTTCATTGTCTTTAATTATGTCCCTGAACTTGTAAAGCTGTTTCTCTTAACAATGGGTACTTTGGAAATGGCAACAATTGCTTTTCCATGAACTGCAAGGCAGGAAGTGCATTGTTTCTTTAAAAAAATTACCAGATGTTTTTGAGTGCTGACTACCAACATAAAAAAAAAAAACCAGAAACGATTATTTTCCAAGTTCTCTAAGTGTAATTTTGTTATTGTGTAACTTCTGTTTGCATTTAACTGGGAATTACAGCCTATGCCAACACTCAAGAATGGAATTTCTATCAAGCTAAGTGTATAAAGATGGAGCCATGGATGGGAATCCTGACTCTGTGGAGGGGGCTGTAGGTTGTTTCTCTTGGATAATACAGACTCACCGAGGGGGTGCCCGTTTGGAGAAGGGCTCTCATGAGTGACCTACAACGGAGTTAAGAGTTGATTGCAATATGCTCTTCTGATCTGCCACCCTTCGCTCCTTAATCCTCTCCTTCAGCAAAATCCTGGTTTTGCTTTATAAACAGAATAGTACCTTTTTCTAAGAAATAACAGACAAAAAGCAGAGAAAGAAACAACTTCTGAGAGAATTTCACTGAAGGCACTGGCAGTGTCTGGATCTTGCAAGATCAAAACACTCTGTACTATCAGAGGTGAAACATATTTGCTGGACACAACCAGAGCGGCCAAACTTTCTCCTTCCACAGCCCAGTTATGCTACAACCTGTTGTTGTGAGTCCTTGTAGGACTAAGTGTCCAGGGCAGCCTTCAAAAACCACCTGGGAACAAACAAAAGCCTTTTGTTGATGGGATCTGGCCAGCAGGCAGCCAGGAAGGTTTCCGAGCCTTGAAAAAGCAAGTCTAAGGCAGGAAAGCCCTCTCTCCCTCGGCGTTCCCCGTGCCTGGGGTGGCCGAGCCCAGCTCTGCTGGTGGGATGGATGGGATGCACCTGCATCAGGAAGGGATTGTCAGCAACTGTGTCTGCTCTGCTCAGCCCAGCCTTTCCATGTCAGCGGCTGTTTCACATCTGCACAGAGATTAACGAGCACCGAGGGCCAGTTACTCGCAAAAGACAAAATGGCACAAATTATTGATAGCAAAATGACTGCGCTGCGAGAATGAAGAGAGGAATAAGAGAGCAGGAAAGAGAAGAAAACAGAGAGAAAAAGACTGCAAAGCTGCAAAAGTGATTCTCAAATATCCGCCACCACAAAAATATATAATCAGAGTTAAAAAAACCCAAGCAGAACTTTCCAATGGAAATCGTGTTTAAGTCTTAGCTGTAGCAGATACTAAAATTGAAAGGACCACGTGTGATGCCAGGTGTAGTTACCTGTGAAAAGGGTGGCAAAGGGCAGCACTTCAAGTCCACCCGAGCAAGGTACGTTGTTCCTTGCGCTGTTCCTGCTCGTGGCCAATCTAACTACGGGCACTGGGGCACCCACAGCCGCTTGTCCTGGCTTCTCCAACCGGAGAAAATGACTATCCCATGTCCCTGGGGTGTAGGGATTAGTGACAGAAAATACCCAGTGCTTCACAGTGAAGGGAATGCAGTTTATTTCTCATTAAACATTAAAACGTACACTTTAAATGATAACAGTATGTGTTTGCCATGGACAGCACAGTGAGAAGAAATTACCCGCATCGCAAGTATCTGGAAATTCGTTATCCCGGCTGTTCCCAGATGATGTGCCTCTGGATTAGCAGCTGTTCATGATGGAGCGATACTCTCTCTGGTGCTCCACGAGTTTCAGAAACACTTCGTATTTCTTGTCATAAAATCTGTATAAGAAAGTAAAATTTCAGTGAAGCTTGAGAGTTAACCCCCCTGTGATATACACGTTAAAGAGCTCACGGCTCCCCCCGGGGCCGCTCGCCGCCGCCAGGGGGCGCCCTCGTCCCGCCGAGCGCCGCCGCGGGCGGGAGCGGCCCCGCACCCCGGGACCGCCCGGGACCCTCCAGCGCCCGGGACAAGGGGACGGAGCGAGTCGGGACCCGCAGCCACCTCGGGAAGGCACCGGGGGTTGCCTTGACCTCCCGGCAGCCTCGGAACCGTTGGCCGCGTCCCCTCCCGGTGCTGGTGGCGTTGGATTGCCAAGGAACGCCATGGGCCACAGGGCTACTGGCCCACCGACCGCAAACCACTGCCTTCATCCCTAAAAAATCTGGGTGAGAAACACTACCCCCTTCCAACGAAGCTACAAAGAGACAGACCTTAACTTCACCTTCAGTAAACTCTCACAGAAAAACCAGGATTACCTCTTATGCTCACGGTTAGGCTGCACGACTTTCCCAATTTTCCCCATTTTCGCCATGGCCTCCTAGTAAAAGACAAACACAAACTGGAAAAGCCTGTTTTGATTTAAAATACTTTTTGACAAGAACAAGATGTTTCAAAACCAATCGGAACATTACTGATGTATTTTGTTTCGACTGAACAAGCCAGATGGCATAAAATATGTTCAATCCCATTATATAGTAGTCATGAGAACAAAGTACTGCAGACCCCTCAGTAAACCAAAATCTGTTCCTCTCTCTTACTGGGAGTCCGAGGCAGAACAGACTTATCTTTTATTATTTACACTAACCAAAGGAAATGTTAAACACTGCAGCCCTGGAGGGGAGATTTCTCAAATAAAACAATACTTCACATGAAATCTCTCAAGCGTGTTCTTAAAGCATCGATTCCCTGCAGCAAAGGAGGACTCGAGTGCACTGCAGAAGCTGAAGGTAACTTGCAAAGTTCTGTTTCAAGACCCAGAACTGCCCTCCCATTCCCGTACAGAGGTGTAAGGGACAGACTTTAATCCTACTCTGCTTTTGGCCAACGCAACATCAGACCAAGAGACCTCACGGAATCCCCTACAGGAGGAGTGTGTGGGACAGAGCCCCGTGTGGAAGGGAGAGGAGCAAATAATTTGGTTCCTTTCCTGATCTCTGTGAGATTCTGATTTTCTGTGGATTCTCCTCAGGAATCCCACTGGAATGAGACACTAATCACTGAATCAGAAAGAGCCCTGGAGAACAGTCAGCCTGAGCTGCTGCTGGAAGCCATGTAGTCAACTACCACAGCTAGGCTTTTAAAAGGGTTGGATGATTTTATAGGCTGTAATATCTGCTGGAGTAAAATCTTTGCTTCCCACCAATCCAGCATTTTACAGCTGAGGATTTCCTAAACCGTCACACGAAGATGAGGAATGTAAGCAGAGTCTCGGCAGCCCAGGGCAGGCAGGGAGGCTCTGAGGATAAGCAAGATTTGCTTCATTCTTCATCAACACGTCCTTTTATGCTGCCAGTCCCAGTGTGCTGCTAGAATGGGGAACACCTACTTTCTACAGTTGTCAACTTCAGGCGGTTAATACCGGATGAAATTGTGGCTCTACCAGAGTAAAAAGCGCTGCTGATAAAACAGCACGGAGTATTTCTGTGCACTCATATGCCTACACTCTTTCATACGTGCAGAAGCTGATTGGACTTTGATTCCCCAAGAAACACCCTTGAAATAACACTTCCAGTGAGATAGCGTGTTCTTTTCTCTGGGCCATGTGAGCCCACTGGCACAGAGTCTCTGCACACCAGCCAGAGTAAAATCCTGGCATGGAAAGGTTGGTATCGTTCCCAGTATGAGAAATGGGCATTTATTCCCTGGTCTTTACCAGGTGATACTCGCTCAAGCATTGTTCCTGTTTACAATACTCTATCCTTTACAAGTCCCTTACACGGCCAGCTGGATTTAGAGGCTACGCACAAAAAAAAGAATGAACACACAGGAAAAAACCCTCAAAGTAAAAGACAATTCCCTCTGTTACAATCAGTGTTCCTTTTCCAGGTAGTTCTGTGTCTTACAGAAAATGTAATGCAAAGGCAAAGCCCCTGGAAGCACTCTCACTAACGGGAAGAGTCACCTTCCTTTCTGCTCCCTGCTTTACATCTCTTTTTGAATTGCCTTGGAGATATTGCACAAAAACAAGCCCAAGACCTAAAGGGTCTAAACGTCTCAGACAAATCCAGTTCTTTCTCAGGTGTAACCAAAATGAAAGGGAGGGCCAAACTTTGCCATCCCACCCCCTCCATGCACATGCAGGGTCTGCCTGTGCTGCCCCATTCCGGGCAGCATTGAGATCAGGACACAGCCAGTGCCATTCCCAGGACATGTTCTGCTTCTGCCATGCTCTACACACTCATGCTCTGCTTTACTCTGGGGCCTCTTACGACTTCCAGTGCTGACAAACTGGGCAGTGTTGAGACCAGGACACAGCCAGTGCCGTTCCCAGGACACGTTCTGCTTCTGCCATGCTCTACACACTCATGTTCTGCTTTACTCTGGGGCCTCTTACGACTTCCAGTGCTGACAAACACATTACTGCTGCTTTGGGAGTACCGCAGCCGTTGGAGATAAACGTATCTTCAGACAGGTTTTATTTTTACACAGTTACTCATCTAATTCCAGGTCTCCTCGGGCTGGCTCCAGAGAGAACACAGAATCACAGAATCACCTAGGTTGGAAGGGACCTTTAAGATTGTCCAATCCAACCATCAACCTAACTCTGACAAAAAACCAAAACAAAACAAAATAAAACAAACCCAGAAAAAAAACCACCACTAAACCATATTCCTGACACCAGCGGACACCACCAACAGACACCAGTGCCGACTCCACCAGGTGTGGAAGGCATGTGGGCAGCCTTGCTTGGCATGGCCGTCCCACTCACCACTCCAGTCCCTGGCTCAGGCTCCCTCCTGCATGTCCCTTTGCTCCCCACCTGTGCCACCCTGCTGGGGCCCAACACCACAAAGGGCACCTGTGACACCCCAGCTTTCAGACCACCTTGGTCTTCAGAGGGCGAAACCAAGTCTCACAAAAGCTAAGGAAAGTGCTCCCTGGGAGGTCTCCTCAGACCTGAAACCTCTGGCACAGAGGGCCCATCCATTGATGCTCAGAGGCTGGAGCCCCTCTCCTAAGAGGACAGGCTGAGAGAGCTGGGGTTGTTCAGCCTGGAGAAGAGAAGGCTCTGGGAAGACCTTACAGCCCCTTCCAGTCCCTAAAGGGGCTACAGGAGAGATGGGGAGGGACTCTTTAACAGGGAGTGTAGCGATAGGACAAGGGGTAACAGTTTTAAACTGAAAGAGGGGAGATTTAGATTAGATATTAGAAGAAATTCTTACTGTGAGGGTGGTGAGACACTGGCCCAGGTTGCCCAGAGAAGCTGTGGCTGCCCCATCCCTGGAGGGGTTCAAGGCCAGGCTGGATGGGGCTTCGAGCAACCTGGTCTGGTGGGAGGTGTCCCTGCCCAGGGCAGGGGGTTGGAACTACATCACCTTTAAGGTCCCTTCCAACCCAAACCATTCTGTGATTCTACGACAGGCAGCTGGGGAGGGAGCCGCTGCTCTGAGTCTATGGCTGGACTCAATGATCTTAAGGGTCTTTCTCAAGCTGAAAGGTTCTACGATGGGGATGGCAGCAGGACAAGCTAGAGAGATCCCTAAAGCAAAACTGGTCCTTCAAGTCTTGATCTAAATTAGGGAACAGATCCTGGCTGCTGCTTATCTTCTGCTGGTTGACCCATCTATCCACGGAGCGTAGTGATAGGACAACGGGTAACAGCTTTAAACTGAAAGAGGGGAGATTTAGATTAGATCTTAGGAAGAAATTCTTACTGTGAGGGTGGTGAGACACTGGAACAGGTTGCCCAGAGAAGCTGTGGATGCCCCATCCCTGGAGGGGTTCAAGGCCAGGCTGGATGGGGCTTCGAGCAACCTGGTCTGGTGGGAGGTGTCCCTGCCCAGGGCAGGGGGTTGGAACTACATCACCTTTAAGGTCCCTTCCAACCCAAACCATTCTGTGATTCTACGACAGGCAGCTGGGGAGGGAGCCGCTGCTCTGAGTCTATGGCTGGACTCAATGATCTTAAGGGTCTTTCTCAAGCTGAAAGGTTCTACGATGGGGATGGCAGCAGGACAAGCTAGAGAGATCCCTAAAGCAAAACTGGTCCTTCAAGTCTTGATCTAAATTAGGGAACAGATCCTGGCTGCTGCTTATCTTCTGCTGGTTGACCCATCTATCCACCTTCAGCTAAAGAGGAAGATGCCACGTCTTTCCAGCTTATCAGATGAAATATTTCTGCATTTTTCTACCAAAAACACCTAAGTCTTTGACAATCCACAGCATTAAGGTCTCACAGCAACTACCACAATGATGTGGAATAAGGAAGAAATTCTTACTGTGAGGGTGGTGAGACACTGGAACAGGTTGCCCAGAGAAGCTGTGGATGCCCCATCCCTGGAGGGGTTCAAGGCCAGGCTGGATGGGGCTTTGAGCAACCTGGTCTGGTGGGAGGTGTCCCTGCCCATGGCAGGGGGGTTGGAACTACATCACCTTTAAGGTCCCTTCCAACCCAAACCATTCTATCATTCTACAACAGGCAGCTGGGGAGGGAGCCGCTGCTCTCAGTCCATGGCTGGACTCAATGATCTTAAGGGTCTTTCTCAAGCTGAAAGGTTCTATGATGGGGAAGGCAGCAGGACAAGCTAGAGAGATCCCTAAAGCAAAACTGGTCCTTCAAGCCTTGATCTAAATTAGGGAACAGGTCCTGGCTGCTGCTTATCTTCTGCTGGTTGACCCATCTATCCACCTTCAGCTAAAGAGGAAGATGCCACGTCTTTCCAGCTTATCAGATGAAATATTTCTGCATTTTTCTACCAAAAACACCTAAGTCTTTGACAATCCACAGCATTAAGGTCTCACAGCAACTACCACAATGATGTGGAATAAGATGTTAAAAAAATACACAGCCAGCAATTTTCAACAGCTCACTCATTCTAGGGTGCTCAAAATATCCTAAATTAATTCCCTCTCTTAATTTGCATTTTGGTTGTGTGTTTTCTTGTTTTTTAAAGTCAGTTTGGTCATTGTTAGTTTGAACAAAAACTTTACTCCCAGAGGAGAGTCTTTTCAACAATTTTCTGGGGACAAAGAGGAACAGAACATTGAAAATATGAATTTATAATGAAATCGGAAACAAAGGAACATCAGAATGGCATTACTGAATCAGATCAACCTTGTGCACTGCTCTGTCTCCAACAAAGCCTTAAATATAGCAAAGTGATAATACTGCTGTTCAGAAATAGTTTGTTTGAGGGTTGACATCCAAATCCATAATTCCAGTCACCAAGAATTTCACAATCTTAATTTGAATGACGCTCTATCTTCTTTGTTTGCCAGTCTAGACAGTACAATGAATACAGTGATTTAAACACAATGAATTCTCTCTTAAAACAAAATATTTTGTAAAATTGCTTTTTAATCATTTCTTTTCTCTCT